ACTGGCGGGAAAACTGCCTGTCACATAACAGCACATTGTTCGGACGTTGCGTCGCATACAAAAAGCCTACATCAGTGCATGAGCACATAGCTATCATCGACTGTAACTGTATTATTATTTAATGTTTCGAAAATGTAAATTGTGTGTCGTGTTGACTTGAAAGTATTATCGTTTAGCGGTGTGTTGTGGACCGAAGTTGTAACTAGCCAACTTGTTTGGCTACATGATTTCGCTAACGACTATGCTACACGTCCTGAGTGTGTAGAGTTAGTGAAAAGACACGAAAGTGCGATAGCAAGAAGCTTTCCTTGTCTTGTGGTCACCTTTCTAGCAAAAATTTCAGAAATGGACCGTTTCAAAACTATATGCAAGTGCAAATGGCTTTGGTAAAGAGGCTTATCTTGAAAAAGCTAGCTCAAATTACTACTAGTACTAGTAGTAGTACTAGCGTAACATTCGTATAACAAGTGCATTTAATCTCTTTTGTCACTGTCAGTGAATAGGTTGACTAATAGTAATATTTCATGGAAATTACTATCACTAGTATTACTAGTGTATTACAGTATTACTTACTATTGTCAGCATTCATATGAATGATATAACTAGTACCAGGTCCAGTCTGTATGCTTGGCGGTGTTGTGTCTGTGTGCTTGTGTGGAAGGGGTTAACCGAAATTATATACTTCTAACGAATTGCGTCATTTCGTGACGCATGTATTACACTATTATATAGTAAAAATAAAATTTAAAATATATTAAAATTAAGATTAAAATTAAAATTAAAAATTAATTAATTAATTAATTAAACAATATGTATAGATCGGTACCCCATCCCCTGTGGGTTTTCGGACTATTGGGCCGTCGGACTAGCGAGCTGTAACCGTTGTACACAAACAAATTGTAAATCACAGAATGAAGAATAGTACCTTGCTAAAATGGGTTGCTTATTTTTGTGACATCATAGAATTGCCATATATTTAAATTGTGAAACGATGGGGGTTGGGTAGGCATTATAATATGATAACTGGCAGTTAGAATAGTGTAATAGACTATTATCATAATTTATTGTTACGATGTACCATGATTAATTGAGAGCTTTGAAACATATAGTGATGTATGGATTATGGTAACAATTTCAAGTAACTGTGAAAAATAGAAGAGACGATTTAGAATGGTCGAGTGGCATCGAATGCAGGGCACGTAATAAAATTGCAAAACCTAACGTAAACTTAACAGTCACGATACCTGACACAATAAAATCGGTTCCAACCACCATGCTGCTTCTCCCTGTCCCGTGCGTCGGGTGTATGGCCGTTGTCCCCCCCTCGCTTAACACGTGTACAGGTGATGCAACCCCCTTGGTCCAGTATACGCACGAGCGTCGTACCCCCTTGTCTGCCACGTGCTCGGCTGGCGCCACCCTCTCGCCCGGCGCGTGTACATGAGGGTGCAACTCCCTGACCTCCCATATCGGCTGGCGCTGCTCTCTCGCCCGGCGCGTGTACGTGAGGGTGCAACTCCCTGACCTCCCACATCGTCTGGCGCCACCCTCTCGCAGGAAAACTTTCCACCTCTGTTGCGGTGGTTGGTCTCTGGTTGTATGACGTCATCCCCCCTGAACTCGACAACTCTTCACTCCCCCCTGAACTCGACAACTCTTCACTCCCCCCTGAAATCTCCACACTAGTTTAAATGTACTCGTGACTAACATATATAGTAATGTATTGTGACCTACTTGAGCATTTAAGGAAATAACAAACTACACAGTATATGTCTATATAACCATCAAGAGCGTATTAAGAAGGAGAGCGTACAATGGTGAAATGCAAAAACAATGTTGCAGCATCAGTCGAATTAAGAAACTGCCCGTTTTATTTTGTTGATTCTTTGCAGTATTATTGATCAGCTGTCCTACCTTGCTAATATAAAACAAACCGGTTGTCCCTGCGATGAACCTACACTGAGATATTGAGCAGTAAAAATCTGGTATTTTCCCGAAAACAGACTTGAGATCCCAGTTGGCTGCGACTCTCTCTTGTTCTGGCGATAGCTTCGGGAAACCTCACGTGTTTCCGTCATTCATTGACAAACATTCTTTTCCTTCCACTATCTTTTCTAGCATTTCCAGTCATGGACGCAGCCATTACTCCACAACAACGTCGTTATTTATCGTTTCTATGCTTCGCCATTGGCTGCACGCTTCTGCAAACAATAAATGCATATGTGAAATATTCAATTTCGGTTATTTGAAATCAGCATTACTAAATATATCATATACTCATTTCATTTCAAACATCTTGAAAATTGTAAATAAAATCCCAAAGTTTATTGTGGGAAATTTAGCCAGATGCTAACGAACGACACGCATCATAATGACAATAGATTATAGATCTTCGGCCAGCAATTAACCTAATAATTAGCAGACAGAATTTATTATTTGTGACGTCATGAGATGTTACAATGTTCTAGAACACTGACCCTCTTGTAGTTTGACCCGCCAGGCTGGTTCGGAGCATTTCTTAACACATCCCCAATTTCAGCAATAATATCGCTGTCCTTATATAAGGGAGACTTCGTTGATTTCTTTATTGCTTCTGAAAACGACCGATTAATGTTTTAAATATAAAGATCTATACAAGAATGTTGCACATGTATTGTGAATTAACTATCTTTGAATTTTAACAATTTAACAATACCATAATACAAATAATATTTATACAAATAACAAGTTATATATAATGATTGATAGATTAACTAATCTCAAGAGTAGATAAATAACAAGAGTGAGACAACCAATTCCTGCATTTTTAACCGATTTTTCTCATCAAAATTTACCACCAATAAAGAAGCAAGTGTATACGTTCCTCAGCTTATTATGACCACTAATCACTCACCTTCGTGGTACTGATATTCGTTTACATATATTTGCTAGCGTATTGCTGTAAATCGTAATCTTGCACGAGCTGAATTCGCACAATTTACCGCTTTTGTTGCGACCCGTTTAGCCATTATTTAGAAGCTATCGGGGCGCCAATATTTAGCAACGGACGTTTCGAAATCATTCGTGCCCCGATAGGGTTGAGAGACAATCTACATTTCGAATTTTGATCTCGTGAGAAACCGCGAGCCGCGCTCAGTTATTGTGATCGCAACACAAGAAATTGACATACTATCTTACAGAAGTAATAATACAATAATAACAATATTCTCTGTAGTAGTTTGCAGTAAGTATCACATTACGCGCGCGCAGGTAATCAAGTACATTAAACCCCTATCGGGGCACGAATGATTTGGAAACGTCCATTGCTACATATTGGCGCCCCGATAGCTTCTACATTATGGCTAAACAGGTCGCAACAAGTCGCCATTTTAGCGGTAAAT